TATTTAGAAAATACAATTATTGCTACTCTTGAAAGTCAAGAATTAGTAGTTTTAGCAGTTGCTTGGACTGGTATAGCAGCTAATCTTTTAAGAGGTGGACGAACCTCACATTCAGTTTTTAAATTTCCTATTCCAATCAATGAAGATTCAACATGTAATATAAGTAGAATGTCAAAACACGCTGAACTTTTAAAAAATGCCAAAATTATAATTTGGGATGAAATTACGATGGCACCTAAATTTGCTTTACAAGCTATGGAGACTATGTTGCGAGATATAACACAATGTAATAAACCATTCGGCGGTAAAGTTATTTTGCTTTCAGGAGATTTTAGACAAACTTTGCCAATTATTTCGCATGGCAGTCGCACTCACATTGTTGAGGTATGTGTGAAAAATAGTAGATTGTGGGATCTTTTTGAAACTAGGTCCTTACATGTTAATGTTAGATTGGATAATAAAGAGGAAGAGTTTTCAAATTGGTTATTAAATGTTGGTGACGGTAAAACTCATTCTATGTTTGAAAAAGAGAACGGTGTTTTAGAAATTCCACAGGATTTGATTTCTGGCGGAAATTTAATAGATGAAATATATGGATTGTCAATAAATCAAAATGATGTATCTGTTTACTCATCATGCATACTTTCATTGACTAATTCTGAAGTGTTAGATCTAAATGAACGTATTTTGTTAAAATTAGAAGGACAAGAAGTAGTTTATTATAGTGTTGATTCACATGTCGATGACGACCCAAAAGATGTAAATAATATTATTCCAATAGAATTTTTAAATAGTTTGACACCAGATGGTTTACCTCCTCATAAATTATCTTTAAAGGTAGGATGTATAATTATGCTTTTGAGAAATATGAATTTAGTTCAAGGATTATGTAATGGGACTCGATTAGTTGTAAAATCATTATTGAGAAACGTAATTTCTGCAGAAATAATTTCTGGAAAATCTAAAGGTGAAATAGTTTTTATTCCACGTATTGATTTATCTCCTTCTCAAGACACATATCCTTTCAAAATGGTAAGAAGACAATTTCCTGTTAGACTTGCTTATGCCATGACTATTAATAAATCTCAAGGACAATCTTTTGATAGAGTAGGAATTTATTTACCAATTTCAACATTTGGTCATGGTCAAATTTATGTTGGTTGTTCTAGAGTTAAATCCAAGGAACATCTAAAAATTCATGCTATTGATTCTGCTATATATAAAAATATAGAATTTCCTGAAAAGTTATATGTGAAGAATATTGTATATCATGAAATATTGTAATGTTATAATTCTTTAAATAATAATCTTCGTTTTCATTCATTCATTCATTCTGTCCGCAGCCCCATGCTGTTTTCTCCTTAAGAGAGAAAGAGAACTTTTACCTTTGGGTGTAGAGAGAGAGAGAGAGAGAGAGAGAAAATGAGCTCGCTTTATTCATTAGAAAAGGAAAGATTGCAGTTGATTATCTTGAGTGGGGAGAGAAAAATTTCATATATATAGATATATTAATATAATATAATAATAATGCCCTTTCACTGATTGGTTTATTAATTTTCTTCTTGAGAGAGAAAGAGAAGTTTTAGCTTTGGGTAGAGAGAGGGGGAGAGAAAAAAGGAGTTCGCTCTATCCATTAGAAGAGGAAAGATTGCATTTGATTGTTTTGAGTAAGGAGAGGGAATAATATTATGTTGTCCTTTAACTGATTTGTCTCTTCTTAAGAAAAGGAAAGTTTGTATTCAAGCATTATGGTTAGAGAGAGAAGTTAATTGCCTCAAAGGTTACTTCAAAATCAAAACAAATGAGTTGTTATCTATCTATTATTTAAAGACCTTTTCAAGAATGGGTTTATAGCCAGGTACCTGAATTGTGGAAAAATTTACTAATTTTTGAAACTTTATTACTTTAGTTGCGTTCGTCCTCTCAGATGAAGAGGATTGTGAAAAACGAAGGAAAATTAATAAAAAGTAGTGATAGTGATTAAATAAATATCAATTAATGAAAATATATTAAATATATTAATTAGAAAACTATGAAAGTGTGTAAAAAAGTGCTTAAAATTTTTTTTGACGAAGTGAAAATTGTGATTAAAATTAAAAATTTATTGTGTTTAAAACATATTGTGACCGAGTGATTAAAGAACCATGTATTGTTAAAAAAAGTTTTAGTGTAAAAAGTCGTTAAGGAAAAATTTATTGATTTTTATAAATTGAAAATGTGTTATAGTTGATAAAAAAGTTATTGTTCTTAAAGAGATTTGTGACTAAGTGATAATTGTGAATGAAATTAAAAAAATTTGTGTGTTTAAACAATTTTGTGACCAAGTGTTTGAAAAAAAATGTTTTGTTAAAAAAATTTATGTATGCAAATTGTTTAAAAAAATTGTTAGTTAGAAAAATTAATAATCATATAATTGTACATAAAAATATAAAATATAAAATATAAAATAATAATTTTTTTTTATTTGAGAAGTGTTTCCGTGATTATAAAAATGTTAGTGAAAAATAGTCTGTTCTAATTATTAAAAATTGTTGGTGATTAAAAAATTTGTGAAAAATTAAATACAGTAGTTAAGTGAAAATTTACAATAAAAAGAAAAGATTTTTTTAATGCGAAGTACAACTTTAAAAAGTTGAAAATTAATTGGATAATTAGAAAAATTGAAATTAGACGGGATAAAATGGAATAGCAAATGGGAAAAATAAAACTGAGGGGCAAAAATAGAATGACATGGAAAAGAAATTTTGATGGGTAAAAATGAAATAATGTATGGAAAAAAAGATATTGGACAAATGAAATAAGACATGAAAAGAAATATTTATATGATATTGGACAAATGAAATAAGACATGAAATGAAATATTTGATGATTGAAATGAAATGAATATAGAAAAAAAAGGAAATGAGATGTACAAAAATGGAATGAATACATACATATTAAAATTATAATTTTTATGATCTTAAAATCAAAATATTTATGAAAAATGGAAATGAAAATTGAATGAAAATTTGAAGAATGATAATGAAAGAGTAAATTAAAAATGAAATAAAGTTTTTTAAAGTAATACTAGATCATAGAAAAATACACTAATAATACTACTAGATTTAGAAAGTACAAATACAAGTACAGTATAAAATATTGTAACTATGTCAAACAGGGAAAGGAATAACGTTAATTTAAGTGATAAAGATTATGCTATTATTCTCAGTGAGGGCGAAATGCTCAATGATAATCATATGCACGAATTTGAAAAGTTATTGAGAAGAGTTTCAAATTATACTTTTAATATGCAAAGTACGTTGCTTTTAAATACACTAGAATTAATTCTTCCTATTGAAAAAAATCAACAGCATATTCAAATTTTATTCAGTGGATGGCACGAATCTGGTCATTGGATTTGTACATATTATGATGGTACAAGTCTTTATATTTATGATAGTGTAAATAATGGATGTTTGAATCATCATCAAAAAGATTATTTGTGTAAATTGTATCCTTTCGAACCACCAGTTGTTTTTGTGGCTGTCCAGCAACAACCGAATGGTACTGATTGTGGATTATTTGCAATAGCATTTGCCACTTCTGTATACTTTAATATGTTGCCAAATAATATTGATTATATTCATTCTGAAATGAGACAACATTTGTATTTAATATTTAAATATAATTATTTGTATCATTGTCCGTCAGAAGAATCGTCTGTTGTAAGATCTATAATTCTCGAACCTAATTGGGGACGTCTTTTTGATGATCGATCTGAAAATTTATTAGTTACAAAATCTAAGATTCTGCATATTCTTAATGATGAAAACAAAGTATTATCTACTGAGAATACAATGATCGAATTTCCCTTGTATGAGGAAAATGAGAAAAAGAGTAATCGTGCAATAAAAGATATGGAGAGAAAAAGAAAGATAAGGTTTGAAGAAACAGTAGAACAAAAAAGAAAACGACAAGAAGAAGATAAACAAAGAAAGCGAAAACGTGAAGATACGGATATTGTAAAGAAAGAGCGTCGAGAAAAGAATTTGTTATGCAAAAAAATAAAACTATCTTTAGAAACAGAAATTGAGAAACGAGATCGTGAAGAAAAGAATTTGTTATGCAAAAAAATAAAACTATCTTTAGAAACAGAAATTGAGAAAAGAGATCGTCAAAATAAAAATTTAATAAGTAAAAGAAAACAATTATCTCTGGAAATGGATGTTGATAAGAAAGAGCGACGAAGAAAAAATTTAGCATGTAAATATAGTAAGCAAAATAGGAAGACGTTAAAAATATGAAAAGTTGCAATGACTTTTTTTGAAGATTTTGATGAAAATAGTGTTTTACAAAATTATTTAGGTTTGATGAATGTTAAGTGTGAGTTTTGTAGTTCATTAAATTTTTTGTGCGAAAGGCCGCAAGACAAAAAATTTAGTACATGTTGCCATAAAGGGAAAGTAAAATTAAATGAACTAAATCCTTATCCATTATATTTAAAAAGTTTATTGAGCAATTCTAACTCGGAAGGTAATAATTTTAAAAAAAATATTCGTTTTTATAATAGTTCGTTAGCTTTTGCGAGTATGGGTGCTAAATTGGAAATTCCAAAAGGATCTGGTCCGTATGTTTTTCGAATTCACGGTCAAGTATATCATTGTACATATTCTTTACATCCGAAAGATGATGATAGACGTAAATATGGTCAATTGTATGTCATTGATTCAAATGAAGCTGTTCAAGAACGATTGAAAAACGAATGTAATGAAAAAATTGTAAGAGTATTATTGGTGGAATTAGACCTATTACTTCGAGAGATTAATCCATATGCTAAAGCATTTAAAATGATGCGAGAAGTAGAAATTGAAGAGGAAGCAAGAGCAAAATTATTAAATAAGCCTCCTAGAAAAATTGAAATGTGGATTAAACGCGATAGATCATTGAATTAAAAGAAATTTAATCTTCCGTCATCTGATGAAGTAGCAGTTATATTTGTAAGCGAAGATGGTGAACCACCCATGGAACGAGATATATGTATATATCCAAAGAATTCTGAAAGTATTCCAATTTCCAGTCTTAGTGCAAATGTTGATCCTATGACGTATCCTTTAATGTTTCCTTCAGGTGATCCTGGATGGACTGTTAACATCAAACATATTAAAGGTAACCGTAATGTTACTCCTTTACAGTTTTATATGTATCGACTTTCATATAGAGGCACTTTTAATCCATGTTTAGCATTAGGAAAATTAACTCAACAATATATAGTTGACATCTGGTCAAAAGTAGAAGGTGAGCGTTTAAAATACATTCGTTTAGAACAGAAAAAACTTCGAGCAGAAATGTATTGTGGATTAATGGATTATGTTAATAATAAAGTTAAAGAAGAGAATGTTCGACCAGGAAAAATTGTTATTTTGCCTTCAACATTTACTGGAGGGCCACGTTCCTATCAACAATCTTTCATGGATGCTATGCGATTAGTTCAAGAATTTGGAAGACCAGATTTATTTATTACCATGACTTGTAATCCAAAATGGTGCGAGATTAGAGAAAATTTGTTAGATTGTGAATCTGCGTCTGATCGTCCTGACATTGTAGCAAGAGTTTTTAGGAGAAAAGTACAAGAATTAATGAAAGAAATAAAAGATGAAGAAATTTTTGGTCCAGTTATTGCATTTGTTTATGTAATAGAGTTTCAAAAGCGTGGATTGCCTCATGTGCATTTCATTACATTTTTAAGTGAAAAGATCCGTGATACTGAAACTGTAGATAAAATAATATGTGCAGAAATACCAGATGAAATAAAGAATCCTGAGCTATTTAATATTGTAAAGCAGTTTCAAGTCCATGGGCCTTGTGGTAATCAAAATATAAATTCACCTTGCATGGACTCTGAAAAAAAAATTTGTACGAAATATTATCCGAAGCCATTTTGTTCAGAAACATCTTATCACTCTAAGAATTATCCAGAATATAGAAGAAGAAAAGATGGTAAGCAAATTATCTTTTATAATAAAGATGGATCAATTAAGTGTATTGCAGATAATTCAATGATTGTACCTTACAATCCATATTTAAGTAAAAAATTTGAATGTCACATAACTGTTATGGTATGTAGTAGTACAGGTGGCATTAAATATTTATTTAAATATTGCTATAAGGGCCATGACTGTGCATTTATTGTTTACAAGGATGATAATCAAGAAATGCAATATGATGAAATTCAATATTATTTAAATACACGATATGTATGTCCACCAGAAGCAATGCATAGATTATACGAATTTCCTATGCATGAACAATCACATGCAACATACAGATTAGCTGTACATTTACCTAATCAACAATCAATATGTTTTCAAGAAGGATTAGAGGAAGAAGCCGTTAACAAATTCAAAAACACGACATTGACGGCATGGTTTAAATTGAATGCAGAAGATTCCGAGGCGCGCAAATATTTATATACAGAAATACCTCATAACTATGTTTTTGTTGAATCTTCAAAAACTTGGAAAGTAAGACAACGAATTACTAAAACCTTAATTTGTCGAATGTATTTTGTTAGTCCAAAAGATATTGAAAGGTATTTTCTAAGACTTTTACTACTTTATGTACGTGGTGCTAAGTCATTTGAAGATATAAAAACTTATGAAGGTATTACATACAACACTTTTACAGAAGCTGCACGTGCGAGAAATTTAATGGTAGACGATAACGAATGGAACAATTGTTTGACTGAAGCTGTGAGTATGAAGTTTCCTAAAGAACTTTGTCGTTTATTTGCATACATATGTGTATTTGGATCGCCTGTGAATGCTATTGATTTATGGAATAAATACAAAGAAGATATGATTTTTGAGAATGATTTACCTGTGGAAGTGTCGATTCAAAAATCATTAATTCTAATTAATGAAGTATTTAGTTTTCATGGATTTTCGCTCCATCAATTTGGTTTGCCACATATTAATCAGAAAGTTTTTGATGATTATAATTCAGTAAGTAAGGAAAATAGTGCTTTAGAATTACAATTACTTAAAATAAAGTCTGATTGTCTTATTAAAAGTTTGAATGATGACCAACGTAATGTTTTCAATGATATTATGATGGCAGTACATAATGATAATTGTAGTAATAGATATATTTATCTCGATGGACCTGGAGGAAGTGGTAAAAGTTATTTACATAATACAATAATTACAACTGTAGAGAGTGAAGGATTGGTGGTTTTATCAGTAGCATGGACTGGTATAGCTGCGAATCTTTTAAAAGGTGGACGAACGGCACCTTCTATGTTTAAATTTCCTATACCAATTAATGAAGATTCAACATGTAATATAAGTGGGATGTCAAAACACAGTGAACTTTTAAGAAGTGCTAAAATCATTATTTGGGACGAAATTACAATGGCACCTAAATATGCTTTACAAGCAATGGAAGTTATGTTGAGGGATATTACGAAATGTAAGAAACCGTTTGGAGGTAAAGTTATTTTGCTTTCAGGAGATTTTAGGCAAATTTTGCCAATTGTTCCACACGGTAGTCGGACTCATATTGTTGAAGTATGTGTGAAAAATAGTAAATTGTGGCATCTTTTTCAAACTAGGTCGTTACACGTTAATGTTAGATTAAATAATAATCAGATAAACTTTTCAAACTGGTTATTAAATGTCGGCGATGGTAAACATCAAAGTACATTTGAAAAGAAAAATAACGTTTTAGAAATTCCACAAGATTTGATTTCGAATGGAAATTTAATTGAAGAAATATATGGTTCATCAATAAGTTCAAATGATGTATCTGCTTATTCTTCTTGCATTCTTTCATTAACAAATTCTGAGGTATTAGATATGAATGATCGTATTTTGTCAAATTCAGAAGGAAATGAAGTTGTTTATTACAGTATAGATTCACATGTAGACGAGGATCAGAAAGACATCAATAACATTGTTCCAGTGGAAATTTTAAATAGTTTAACACCAGATGGTTTACCACCTCATAGATTATCATTAAAGGAGGGATGTATAATTATGCTTTTAAGGAATATGAATTTGGTTCAAGGATTATGTAATGGTACACGATTAGTTGTCAAATCTTTATTAAGAAATGTTATTTCTGCAGAAATTATTGTTGGAAAATCTAAAGGTGAAATAGTTTTTATTCCACGAATTGATTTATCTCCTTCACAAGGTACATTTCCTTTCAAAATGATAAGAAGACAATTTCCAATTAGACTTGCTTATGCTATGACTATAAATAAATCTCAAGGACAATCTTTTGATAGAGTTGGAATTTATTTGCCAATTTCAGCTTTTGGACATGGCCAAATTTATGTTGGTTGTTCTCGAGTAAAATCGAAGGAAAATTTAAAAATTCATATTGCAGGTTCAGCAGTATGTAAAAATAATCAATTTCCAGAAAAAATATATGTTAAAAATATTGTTTATAATGAAATTTTGTAATAAAATATCTTTTATTAATGATGAAATAATAATAAGATATATGAATATTATTATTTTTCAGCTATAAATATACATACAATTTTTTTTAGTTATCCAGGGAATATTTTGTAATGTTTCTATATTTTTTATTTCTTTAAAGAATTTTCAGTACATATGTAAAATGGAATGTATGTAATGAAAATTTTTAAATCTTTAACATATAGAAATATTTTATTTACTTTAATAAGATATTAGAAAGTGATACTAGAAATTAGAAAATATCGGAGCGAGTGTAGTGAAAACATTATTGATGATTACAATACAAATAACAAAAAATAAAGGATTTTTAATTTGATCTTGACAGGTAAGTGTGTATATTAATTAATTTAAATAATTCAAATTTTATTATTTATAAAATAATAAAATAATGTTTTAAATGTGACCTGGTAAGTTAAAAGGGACCTTACGCCAGAGATGTAAAAATGTAAGAATAAGATGGATTTGTTTGCAATTTTAAAGTATATAAAAGAAATTTGACAAACATAACTAATTACTTTGACATCAAGTTTACTAAAGTAACCTTTTCAGTCACAGTGGTCAATATATTAACCACCTTTTGGTAAGGCTGAAAAAAAATCCATCATATTTGCTTGAAAATCACTAACTAGGGGTTTTAGGGGTCGCAGATTACGAATATAATATCAGAATCGCAAAATTTTGAAAATTAAAAATGGTGGATCTAATTTGGCGAATGAAAAAATTAAAAATTAATCGGACTCGCTAAAAAATTATTTCTTGGGGTTGCCGATTACGAATCTGAAGTCGGTTTTTAAAAATTTTAAATGGTGGATCAAATATGGCGGACGACGAAATTAAAAATTCATCCAATCGGCATGAAACTTGTTACTCGGGGGTTTTCGGGGTCGCTGATCACGAATCTGAAGTTAGTTTTTAAAAATTCAAAAGGGCCCGTGTGGTAAAAGAGAAGGGTGTTTTTGTATAATTTTAATGTTGTCGTCCGCTATATTGGATTCGCAATTTTGAATTTTTAAAAATTAACTTCAGATTCGTAATCAGCGACCCCGGAAACCCTCGAGTAACAAGTTTCATGCCGATTAAATGAATTTTTAATTTTGTCGTCCGCCATATTGGATCCGCCATTTTGAAAAGGATAGAAAAAACAAACGTTTAAAAATCAAGATTTGCGATTATAAATTTTTTTAAGTAGATAAATGTTCAATTTAGTATTTTTAATAATTTAAAATCTTTAGATGCAAGGTAAACTTTGCAGAAGATTTCGTTTTCATTTTTTGGAACTTGATGATGAAAATTTCCAGTTTATTGAATTGAGCAACATTCAGAAAAATGATTTCTTAGATGTTTTTCGTTTAAGTTATGTTCATCCTTTGTACAAAACATAAAAAAAATCAGAAGTAAATAATATTGGCTCGTACTTAAGAACGAACGGCACATATATTTTTTTGGGGAAATTTTGAATTTTTTTTAAATAATACACTTTAAATTGTTAGTAAATCTATTATTATATCCTAAAATATAAATAAAATCCAACTATAAATGCATAAAAATGTTTCCTTTAAAAATTGTTCTTCAATGTTTGATGACCGGAAAAATCTCCAATTTAAAAAATTGTTTTTCCTAATTTTTCTCTCATAAAAACTATATTTATTCCAAGTTTAAAAAATTGAAAGACCCATGACTTAAATTAAATTTTTTTTAGAAAAATTGACCCTTGTAAAAGTTTATCTTCCACAATAATAATTACAGGGTGGTTAACTTTGTTTATAAAATGTTTATAACAATAGTAATTATTTATTTCATATTTTTTCTTTTGTATAAAATAAGTATGTGTATAAATAACTTCATAATCAAAATAATAGTAAGGATTAAGAAATCAAAAATAAAATAGGATTGTCCGGCACATGGACCTCAGGCTCGACGCGTTCGTGTAAATACAAAATACGTGCGCTGCAGGACAAAAAGTTGAATACTTTAGTTAGTTTTAAAGTCTCCAGCAATTTTTTTTTGAAAAAATTCAGGAGAAGATAAGGAATTTAAATATTATGAATAGAAAAAAATCGAAGGGGTGCTTATGCCCGAAAAAGTGGAATCAAAATTTTTTTTTACTTTTTTTGGGGCAATTTTCGAATTTTTTTTTTGTTTTCTATTGCATTAAAATTATCAATAAAACAATTATTAGTCACATAAATATGAACAAAATCGATTAAAACGTCTAAGAGCTATGCATTTTTGAAAAAAATTATACTCAAAACTTCAATGCCCGGTAAAACCCATGACCAACATTGATTTTTTTGAGAAAATTTTACCCAAATTCAAGCATCTATAAACAATTGCAATTAAAATGTTTGCAATTTTTTCTGAATTTTAAATGAAATTAAATATTTAAAACTCGAAGTTTTCAAAGTGAAAATAAAATTCAAAAGGGGAAATTAAGTTTTTTATGTTTAAAAATATATTTTTGATACCAAAAAGCAGAATATCTTTTTAGTAATTTTAGATGTTTGTTATTTTTCCAGTATTTTAGATATAATTCCCTGAATTAACACTGATTTCTAAATAAAGTTTTGAATTTTTCCCTGATTCTTCTAAAAAAGAATTAAAATAGTTCAAAATAGAATTAGTGACTGTATGAAACTCCCCTTGATAATTTTGTAAAATTTTAAATAAAATTCTTTAAAAATTCAATAAATTTTAGTAGAATTTAGGAAAATTCAATTATTTTATTTTTCAATTACTTGTTCATAAACATTCAAATTATGTTTAAAAAATTAACTTGGAATATTTTAAAAACTTTATTTTTCAGAATTTCAAATACATTTTTTCAAAACTTCTATTAAAAAAATTTAATTTAAATCTTCTTAAATTTTACTTTTAAATAAAAACTCTAATTAGATCTCTTTGTAAAAGTCAATTCAAATTATTTGTTTAACTCGATTGTTTAAAGACACTTTAATTTTGTTAAATAATTTTATTTTAATAATTATCAGACACAATTATTTTTTGCAATTTATTTTATAATTTTAAAATTTTTTTTAAATAAGTATTTCATTAACTTTGGTCATTTTTTAATAACATTATTTAGAAAATGCAAGCATCTTTAAACAATTGCGTTAAAATTTTTTGCAATTTTTTCTGAATTTTAAAAGAAATTAAATATTTAAAACTTGAATAATCAAAGTTTTCAAGGTGAAAATAAAATTTAAAAAGAAAAATTATGTTTTTTATGATTAAAAGTATATTTTTGACATCAAAAGGCAGAATTTTTTTAAACTAATTTTAGATGTTTGTAAATACTTTATTGTAAATTTCAATGAATTATTTAATGAACATATGAATGAAATCTTTATTAGAAATCAATTCTATATTTGGTTAGAGTATTTTAAGAAAAATGGTCTGGAAAACCTGGAAAAGTCAGGGACTTCTAAAAATTTGGAAACGTAGCAACCTTGTAAACATATCCTAAATGTAATCAAATTTTATAAAAGTTAATAAAAAAAATTCAAATAATTTGTATACACTACCGTCCGAAATTGTGCGAACTCTGCTTTTTCAACAAATATAAAACTGTTCAAATCTTCAAAAATATTAAAACTAAAATTTTTTCCTCTTTATTTTATTAAAGTTAATAAAATTCTGAAAGAAATGACACCTTGACAAAGAGAATATGTTAATTTTTCAATTAGATATCTAAGAAAAACCCAATTTTCAATGTTTTTACTATTTTTTTTATTCCTCTGGCAAAAATTAATATTTTTAAACGTTCTTAGGCTCATTGAAATCGTATTTTGTTATGCAATTCAAATTATATAAAACAATTCATGTACACATTCTTCCCTAGCGTATGCAAACCGTGAAAGTTGGCTCATAAAATGTCAAAAAATTGTGATTAATATTTATATGACAAAAAATGATCAGTAAAATGTATAAATCTTAAATTTACTTACATAAATCAGAGAAGTTTAGAATGATATAATTACTTGATTTTTAAACATTATATTTTATTGTAGAATTAAATTTAAATTTTTTGACATTTTATGAGCCAACTTTCACGGTTTGCATACGCTAGGGAAGAATGTGTACATGAATTGTTTTATATAATTTGAATTGCATAACAAAATTCGATTTCAATGAGCCTAAGAACGTTTAAAAATATTAATTTTTGCCAGAGAAATAAAAAAAATAGTAAAAACATTGAAAATTGGGTTTTTCTTAGATATCTAATTGAAAAATTAACATATTCTCTTTGTCAACGTGTCATTTCTTTCATACTTTTATTAGCTTTAATAAAATAAAGAGGAAAAAATTTTAGTTTTAATATTTTTTAAGATTTGAACAGTTTTATAGTTGTTGAAAAAGCAGAGTTCGCACAATTTCGGACGGTAGTGTATTTTTAAATTAATTCTAATAAAAAATTGCAAAATATTTTATAATTTATTAGAAATAATAATAAACTGTTTAGGAAAGTTATCATGAAAACATTTCTCAGGTTACATGTGAATATTATAGTACAATGAGAGGGTTCGATTCCTTGAATTAGATAATTTTTTCATTTCTGTATCTTCATTAAATTACAAGTTAGTAGTGAAAGAAAAACTTTCTTTTCTTTACAATTATATGTGGTTAACAATTACTTTAAATTTTGTAATTAATTTTTATTTTTATGATCTTAATTGTCTAATTCAGAAAGTTTTAATAATTTTTTTGAAATCCATTGTTTTCTTTCTCAGTGGAAATGATATATACATATTTAAACTGTTTCAAAGTAAATTTATTAATTTTTATTTCTAAAATTTTACCATAAAATAAGAGAAAACTTACGTTAATTAAATTTGTTCAATTATTATTGTATTGTTTATTTTACTGTAATTCATA